TAAAATAAAATAAAATAAAAATGACAGAAGTAATTAAAAAAATCTTATAAAATAAGATATTCACAAATGTAAATAAAGTTAAAGATATAAATGTGTTTTTTTTAAATATAATTTTTGTCAAAATAAATGTATGTACGCATAAATAATGCGTGGTGCGCTACGTCATTTCCAAACGTTGCCAAACAGTGTGAGCGTAGCGCTGTTGAACGCGCCCCGCTCTCATTGTGCAGCGGAGGAAGAAGCTTCGGAAGGTTCGACGACGTCGGTATGAAATGGCAGAAAGTGGCCGCGCCGCGGAAGCACCGAGACTAGGCTGCGTAGGAGCTGCATGTGTTCACCGTGGAGCCCCCGGCCTGCAGGTCAACTGATAGCTAACGACTGTTAGCTCTTCGGCGGGGAGGGGGGACGGGGGGGGAGACTTGGATTAAAGACCACCAGGATTTCCTGCCTTTAAACACCCGTCCAGCCTGCGTCTGACGGAGGCAGCAGGCGGCGGCTGCGCGGCGAGACTCCTGGAATCAACCGGACAGGGGTGAGCTCAGCGGTCAGCTTTCATAGCCGTGTTGTAGGTGTTAAACTCGGGAGGGTGGTGGGGAGTTAGGTGTGTGCTTAAACGAATATAAATATTCAGGCAGGTCTGGCCTGGAGGAGAGAAGGCAGCCAGGCTCTCCTCGGCTCCATGTTTCTGGCGGAGCTACGCTCCTTTAGCTCCACCTCAGCGTAAATAAACCCCCCGCTCCTGTTTTTACTCCTCCAGCCTAATAAATGCTGAGCCGGAGCGGAGCGGTGACCTCCACTCAGTGATGTTAAACACTCAGCAGCAGCTGCTGCCTTTGAATGCAGCCTGATTCCAGCTAACATCAAGTTGACTAACTTGGAACGTGACCTAGCTAACATGCTAGCTCACTGACTGCGACACTTTAACAGCAGCTTCCTCTGGAACAACAGCCTCCTTTTCTAACCGCCTGTTTTATTTGGTAATTAATCAGCCCTGAACTCTGACTGTTTGTTTCCTTAAAGGAGAAGTCCGCTCACATTGTGAATTCAAACTTCTGAAAGCACTTTAAATATGAAATTATTACATCCTGTTCAATAGATATTTTTTTTTAGTTCAGAGTAATTTTCATTTGATTGTGCTTTACTGGAGGCATCCATGTTTGTCAAAGAACACTACTGCCACCTACCGGTTTGTGACGTCATGGTGCGGTATCGGCTGTTGATCAAGTCCCAGTGCTCAGGGCGTGCAGGTGGCGCAGTGGTTAGCGCACAGGACCCATGTATGATGGCCTTAAAGCCAATTTATGCTTCTGACGCATAGCCTCTGCAAACATCAAATCTATCTGTGCGTGACCACTCCCCCGAGCAGAAGTTCTGGAACCGTTGTCGCGCACCTAAAAAAAAATCCTGACTACACGTTGGACGGCCACAAACCCGCACAGACCTCAAGCGGAAGTGCGCAGACAAAAAGCAGCTGTGATTGGTCCTTGGTATGCCTTTCTGGCTGTCTGTGTGGTCGTCCTTCTCGATTCGGTGCCGGGGTGCGCCATTTTTAAAAACTAAGGAGTAATAACAACAATGGATAACCTCGACGAAAGGTTAATTGTTTTTTTTTGCCAACTCCATTAACAGAAACTGTTCCTCTTCAATCTCTGTAACTGTGATCTCTTGCAGACGCACCATTGTTGTTTTGGAAGACAAACACTCCCGCCGGCGCCAATCTCGTGACCATCTGCCGAAGTTGTTACGAGTTCTCGAATAGGCTCCCCCTAGTGCTTTGGCGTTAAACTGCTGTGTGTCCCTAGAGATACCAGACCTACAGTGCAGTAGCATACCAGCAAAACTGGTTTGCGACCAGACCCAAGCCACATTTAATGTGTGCGGTTGCAGAAGTCTAATCTGCCCTCTAGTCCTTGTTGCGGCTGATCCGGGTTTCAAATCCGACCCGTGGTCCTATATAGGGGTGTAAATAATAATTGTTTTGTATTGATGCATCGATCCAACAGGGGACTATCTGATGCATCAACACATCCACAAAAGTATCAATTCATGTTTTTTTTTGTTTTTTGGTCTATTCTTATCCATTTGCTCCTGGACGTAATTGTGACTCCCGTGCTGCAGAAGCGCTAAACATATTTGGCCCTCCTACTGCGCTTCCTATATCAACTAGCCTCTTTCCGCTCGCACACACTCGTGTAAACAGTAGGCAAGACAGACATGGTGGAGGAAAAAGAAGATGGTGTATTCTTGAGTATCGAATATAATCGAATCGTTGGGTCGGGAAATTGATATTGAATCGGATCACCATGATGAGTGTGATTTACACCTTTGCTGCATGTCACTCCCTCTCTCTCATTCCCCCTTTCCTGTCAGCCTACTGTCCAAAAAACGAGCCACTAGTGCCGTTAAAAACAAAAAAAAAGTGCTGTATCTGGTGTTTGTCACAATGATCTATTATCCAAGTCATCTCGAAAACATCCATCCATTTTCTGTCATGCTTTATCCCAGCTGGGGTTGCGAGGGGTGCTGTCTAACAGCGAGAGGCAAGACGCAAGTCCATCGCTT